TGCCCCCCCCCCCCAACACGAGAAAAGGGAGAGGTACCACTGCTGTAGACTACCTGCAGTCATAGAGACACACCCGAGAGGGCAGCGGGCGCGTTTGTTCCACCTCGCTGTGAAACTGTCGGCAGTGTGAACGAGAGAGACAGCTGCAGACTAGTTATTCATGCGGCCTAATTGGTGGCTCTGTTGGCCTGTGTGTGTCGCCACCAATCATCCCGAGCTGCTGCCCAACAGCCCTTCGTCTAATCCTTCACACGCTGTGTTGCTTTTTGAGCCGGACGAGGCGTCAGGTTCATGGCTTCTGCGGTGCACGACTTCTGACTCTCTTGCTAACCCTCGGTCGAGTTTAGTTCCTCTCTCCACAATATTTGTTGAATAACTGGTGGTCTGTTTATAGGCCCGCACTAGCCTACACATTCGTGGTGCGCAGTCTAGTCGCACGCCCGGCACAGCCAACTCGATACGAGCGGGTAAAGGTACAACTCTTGCATGGAACTGTACAGCACCATCAATGTTCATGTGTTCGTGACGCAATGATCATGCTGCGTACCCACGGATCTGTTTTTGCACCAGCGAATCGATTTCCATCGACAAACTTCCGGGGTCGCACCAGCCATCAATTCCGACGCGGCCATTGTTCATGTCAATCACCTCCTGACCCCACCGCCGACCGACACTTCACGCTATTAAAATACGTACGTGTGCTCCCCGCCCCCCTGGGAGTGTTCATACAAGCGTCGTGACAAATAAGTCGTTCTCGGTGAAACAAGTGGTGCATCAGGTACAGATGTGGGCGACAACGAAGGGCTTTTTTTTTTCTGCGGAAGGTCACCACGGCCTTCCTAGCTCGGCACCACCCGCCGGTTTATACAGCCCTGTGGTCCAGTACATTCAAACGTTCCCACGGGAGTGCAGAGTTGGGTAGGGAAGGTTAGAGCGGTGCTGCGGCTTGTTGTATCGTACATTTTGTTGAGGTGGTCACTCAAAGTTCGAGACTATACGTGTGCGCATTTCGAGGCATAAAACGGGTATCGATGGCGTACTGTTGCCTGCAGTTGTGCTTGAAAACCACCACATCATGACAAAAGATCATCGATGCGTTTGGCGCGAAATTCGTGCGCTGAATTAGGAAAAGCAGAAACATGTCAAATATGTACTTCACAGCGCGCCCGAATATCTACCCTTGGCTCCTTAACAAAATCCACACACATCGATCGCTGATACGGTATGGCAGCGAAACAGTTTCAAAAATGCATGAGTGGAGCTTTAGGCGATTGACCGAGACGTGACGGCAGGAAAGAGCGTCAAGCAGAGTTTGTTCTCGGTAGGGAAAATTCGGCGCGAGGTTGACTTTATCCAGGCCTTTATCCAGGCCTAATCCAGTTGGATGTGTCCTTCCTTTGGAGTCCTTCCGTCTGTGGTGATATTGGTTCTAGAAATTCGCGAGATCCTTAGAACGGGATGTATTCCTGTGCTGCGCGGCACTGGGAGCTACGTAGCTGCAGTGACGAGAACACAGGACGGCAGGGGGATACGGGGTACATCGAGAGAGCACATCGAGAGCCCGTACCCCTCCGCCTTCTTGCCACTAGTCGTATTTGCAAATTTTCCTTGTTCTTAGAGGTAGTAAAATGAACACCAACACAAAACTAAGGAGACAGCATGGGACAACCTAAAAGCGCAAGGTCATCTATTGAGATATGGGGAGAGGGTCAGGGTTAGGGTTAGGGTTAGGGTTCCTAACCCTAACCGTAGGAGAGAGAAAGTTCGATTTCGTGGCGACCTTTCCAGAGTTTTTTTTTTTGTGGCGACCCTGGCCGAGTTTAGCACGCGCCGAAATACCAAGGCCTATGCTTGTCGCAGACGGCGGTCGCGTTGGCTTCATGAAGCACAATGATTCCCTCGCTTGGCGGAGTCAGGATCCGTTCATCATCAACGAAACTTCGTCTTTTTCAACCTTTCGCTACGCGCCATCCGTCGCTTTCCCTGCCTTTTCCACACTCGTCACTTGTCATTTGTCACTGCGCACCCCTGACCCTCGTCACCAGCGGAGTATAGAGGCCGCCCGGCCAGTCGACGGTCGGCATCATCATGGTCACGACCAAGATTGCCCTGGCGCTTTGCCTAACCCTCCCGGCGTCGAGTGGAACGCTGGATGTCACAAGAGGTGAATCTAGCGAAATGTTCAAAGTTATTGTGTTACTGGATGTAATCGAAACGAGATCAAATGCTTGCTATGAAGTCTTTCCTCGACAAAAGTGTCCGAAGAGTGACGCCCACTCAATATCGGCTTCGGCGTTGGTGACAATGGAGAGATTCCGTGCATATTCTGTTCCCCCACGAATATAGGAGAGGGAAGGACACTGCTAGAGACCGTTCCCGGTGGATTCGAGTCGTCGGCTACAGGCGGAAAAGTGTTCGCCATGGAACAGATCAGGACTTTCGAAGGTCCAAGGGTTGACTTTGACGCCGCGGAGATATTACCAGGTCCCCCGCCGGCCGATGAAGAGATGTGCGAAAAGTGGGCGGTGCTCACTTCAATTTTCGAGCCCACGGAGACGGTCAAACAGCTTGCGGAATTGAGAGGGTGGTGCGTCGTCGTCGTAGGCGACAAAAACGGTGGGTATATTGGACATTTCGAGAGGTTTCACTCGCAGATTCCATGTTGACGAATGCAAACAAATCAAATGTCTGCACGCCGCGTTATAAACGTCGCTGGTGCCCATGTATGGGTATTCAACAAGCTCAAACACAGCCTAAGGTTTGATGGCACGGGATCGGTTCCAAGTACGACACGTCTTGGGGGAGAGGAACGTACAACGGGTCAGAGCTTCGTGATGTAGGAACACCCCGAAGTTTGAGATGGAAGATTCAGACGCACTCGCACCGGATGATATATGTCGTTGCCATGTAGTATGTCTTGTCGGATAGCACAGAGTACGTACACACCCGTATCGCCATTCATTGTCTCTGTGCTGGCCGTGACAGTGCGTGCTGTAGCACGTGGTGACCAACGCGTGAGGTGTTGGTGCGACTGTGAGATGCTGCTGGTGAAGGGCTGGGCAGAGCTTTATTTTGGTAATTCGTGAGCTATAAAAGGTTGTAGCAGGGCTGCCATTCTGGTGTTGATTTACGCTACAATGAAATGCTTGAAATCAACGCTCGCGTGTGATCAGTGAAACATGCACTAGATGCTTGCAGCCGCTTAATAGAACGAGCTTGGATGAAACGTCACTTCTTGCCTACGTTTGCCGAGGACGCACAGGGCCAGCGGAGTACCACGTCACCGGAGTGAAGTATCTCACTCCAGGCGATCAAGATGCCTTGCCTTACCGCATCACAGAGATTCTACCGTGGAATCATTTTGGTCGGAAGAACGTCGGATACATGTACGCGATTCAGCACGGGGCTAAGGTGAGCCGCCGGTCTCGACTAGTGGTTCAACGTCTGAGCTCCGTGGTCGCAACGCCTCTGCAATTGCAGTGGGTTGATCAATGTAGTACAGGCGTAATTTGCAAACTTTTCGCGGGGAGAGGCATATCTGTATTTTGGACGCAAGGTCGACCTCAACCCATGCCAGCTACGCGGCGTTCGCGGGGTTGATGGGTCCATCGTCTTCTAATTAAAGTAGAAGTATCTGACAACGTCATCACGGTACCGCAAGGCACCGATGTCTGCTTCATATTTGTAGCTCTGCTTGCAGGACACATGGCATCACTCACAGCCGAGTGCCACACGAAAAGCATCGTGTCCTCTCGTAAATGAACGATAAGCTCTTGCCGGTTGGTTGATGCTGTTCGGAATTGAGCCCCACGTCCACAAATGCCAACCCCTGCTGTTAGGTATTCAAGTCTCAAATGCGACCAATGAAAAGTATTTCCTTAGAATCAGAGCACACGCGTGCCACGCATTCATCGTCACCGATGTCGGGGCTTTGTGATACGACAGGTAATCTATGATGTGGACGATGACAATGCGCTTATTCACCCCGAGGAAGGAGTACCCCACGCAGGCGTCTCCTCCATTGAGGACAACGTGCTGTCCCGCTTCTCCGGCCACCCTTCATCCTCCGTGCACAACCCTTACGGGTGTTTCGGGGCGCCGGGCGTCTCGTGGCCCAGAGGGTACCCACTGCCCGCGATCCAAGACGATAGCCCCCACCACGCCGCGTACTGCGATGTTGATGGGATCAGTGGCTCCCGCATCGGAGTAGTGCAGGCACTGGCCAATCACGATCCGGACGTAGACGCAATCTACCGCCTTACCCACCCACCCGGAGGACTGCCATTTAGCTTCAACCCAGGGGCTCCAGGCACACCCGAAAGTACACTACGGGGTGTCCCTGCAGACAAAATGACTCCGTACAATGCACAGGTGAGACAACCCACAGCAACTACCGCCAACACCCTATCAAGGGGCAATGGCACATTGACCTGAGTAAAATGTTCGGGGCAAGCGCTCGTTCAAAAGCGATACCTTGTGGAGCAGAAAACGGCGTTGATAAGCAGCGTGTGTTGATGTCAGACGATATACCTGCCCCGCGAAGACCGTCCGGCAAACGCAAACTCGTTCTTTACTATGATTTTAATTTTTCAGGCGACACTTCACTTTCCGGTGGCTTTTTGGGGTATGTTGCTACCCGTGACGGTGCACGGAAGGGTTAGTGATATCTGGCGAAGCTACTTCACGCAAGCGCTCCTGCCCTTGGCCAACGCGGTACCCGTCTTCGCTCCTGCTTGGGTGGAACAGGTCAGAGTCGATTCGTGTTTTTGGGCAAGAGTGAGAGGAGGTGCGGAGAAAAACGGAAGTGGTAATCTATCGTTGATGAGCTGCAGATCTTGCTTTGCCTGGATGGGCATCCCGTGGTCTACTGCTGTGCACTTTCATCGCGACGAAAACTCCGTTTTCTGTCTCCCATGCCAGCGTCTTTCGTCCACACTTGTCTGTTCGCCTCGCCGAAATCATTTGTATTTCAGATAAGGAATCCACACGACTACTTGGGCGATTTTCAGGCCGAGTTGCCTCTCTACGAACGGGCCAGTACGCTGGTGGAGTTTCTCCTCGGGTATGCCGACGAGAAGGGCGCCTCGAACTCTGGAGGATTGACTTGGTCTCTGGTGGAGGACTTGGCCGTGACGATGTATGAATACGGCATCGTTGACGAGGAGGACGTCGTGCTGACGCAGGTGGGCTTCGTTGGTTGTTGGCTGCTCTCGGCCCTCCACTTGCAATCACGTCTATAGCAATCAAATCCAGCAGACACACGCGCGGACCGACGCCCTTCGTGTTGGGAATCACTGGGTGATGTACAAGGCGTTTCACGAGTTTGAAAGACTCCCTTGTGCCGTCCCCTTCAATCGGGCTCAGCAAAGGCAGACATGTGATGCCCAAGACCGTGAACAATGCTCTCGAGGTGCGGTTCCGCCACGCCATTTTGTCAGCGTTGGTCGACCCTCACTGAATGTTCATTTGTTTCGTCCAATCCCGTTCGTAGGCTTGGTTGCAGGACCTCCGAGACTCCGGGTACGATCTTGAAGATGTTACCGGCCAACAAGGACATCCACTGCAAGTACCCGTGCACCAGGGTGGTTCGCCGTCGTCGTCAGCGATCGAACCTTTGGATTCGCGCGCTCATGTGATGCTCGTGATTGCCGTGGTCTCTGCGAGGCCTGACCGGAGGCATGCAGTACGCCAGTCATGGTTAACGTGGGAAGATGAACGGGTGGAAGTTCGTTTTTTTGTGGAGAAGCCGGAGCCAGGATCGGCTGACGACACCTCCTTGGCGCAAGAGTCGGCAGCTCACGGCGATATCGTGATGATGGATATCGATCCTGGCATGAACTTCGGTCTCAAGCTAGTGTGGGCGTTGCGCTGGATGTCGGATGAGTTCACGTTCGATTTCTTCCTTCGCCTCGACGACGACTACTTCCTCTGCCTCAGGCGCCTTCTCGACGAGCTAGAGATCGCCCGTGCTGTGGCAGAGGCCCCACTGAGAATTTACGGAGGCTTGGTGATGTGCAATGTTTACCACATGACAAGAATAGACGAGGCGTATATGCTCTTGTCTGAAGACCTTGTGCGTCGAGTCGTGGACACTCCCGATCTTCAATGCGCTAGTGACGCGGGGACAACTGCTTCATGGTGGTTTGCAGAGGGGCATCCACTAAACCAGCTGGGTGATGTGAAATGGGTGAACGATCCAAGGCTTGATCATTTTGGAAAAATCATTGACGGCCCCCCGGAGCTCTTCGCTGATGTCTGTGTTGCGCACATGGGAGTTCATCACACCTATCCCGAACAGATGGGAATCTTCTGGGAGGCCGCGAAGGACAAGCCTGGACCTGCGCCAGCTGAAACCGGCGACGGGACCTTCATCTTGAGCTATGTCTCCGACGATACTTGCAAGGACACTGGTCCAGTCACTGACGAATTGTTTAGAAGCGGTAGGTTCGAGGGTCAGTCTTGTGACACCTTCAAATCGAACAACAAAATCACGATTTGGTGCGGAAAACAAGGATGCTGAACCGCACCAGTGTACGTCGTACAGTACCGCCGAAATTCGTCGTTGAAGTGGACGATGGGTACCCCGGGAGGACACGCAGGTGTCGACGGTACGATGCGTCAGTGTGCCGATGGCGGTATTTGGGATGTTTTATAGCGGTTGTTTTATTCTTTTGTGCAGTGTTGTTGCTGTTTCTGTTTTATTCGAGGTGTGGGAGAAACCGTCAGCATCCAAGAACCCAAATCGGCATAGGCTGTTTATACGGCGTAGGCCTGGTCAGCCAGAATGTGGATGCTCGATGCGACGGCCTGATGTAGGGTCTGAGATTCCTCGGATAGGGTTTTCAGTGAGGCGTCCGGCGACCAGATTCTCGTTGCCGAGTAGACTGCCCTTTTCTCTGTTGGCACCCACGCAAGCGATGAACACACGCAAAAGTCTTGTTGGGTGGTTGAGCACACATAGAAAGCGCTGTTGGATGAATACTTCCTGGAAATATTCCCCCTCGTTCGCCTCCTATGACGTGTACACTGCGCTGTTTCCTATCTGGAGTACAAGCTAAATTCTTGGTGATTCGTGTCTTGTCTGTACTTGAAATTAGGCTCGATATCTCTTTGTTCCTTGTTCCCGGTATCTTTGACCTTTACAGCACGTTCAATTATACGTCGAAGAAGGGCAGCAGCGTGAAGAGGAGTACGGCATTGCGTATCCTTGTTGACTCTCCAGCTGAGCCTCTTGTGTTGTATTTCCCTGGTCGCCGTCGTTGGCGAACTGCCCACAACGCCTCTTTGATTTATATATAGTCGAGAATAATCCAAACGGCCCCGGGTTGGACAGTGCCGCGCTTTCGCGCTTTTATGGGGGATGCTGCAGTCCCCATGGTTGCCCGTTGCGAAGCTGCTCGAAAGTCCCACAGCTGAACTCCTGAGTCGCCTATAGTGCCTGACTTGCCCGTGCCCGATAAAGAGGAAGCCGAAAAGGCTCCCACAATCATACCACCGCAGCCTCGCACAACTCAGTCAAGTTTGGTTGGGTCATGTTGTAGCCGCGGCTTGCCCATTCCACTTTTATCCCACTGAGATTCAACTCTCTCTCTCTCTCTGGTAATTCTCCCATTCTCCCGCCCCTTTCGCGCTCTCCTCCGCAAGAAGTACGCCAGCGCGACCTGTCCCTTTTTCGGCGCAGCTAGATTGCGCGCTTGGGTCCGCTGCTGATTGGCAGAGATCCTTGTGCCTCTCAGGCGGGGGTAGATCTTGTCTCATGAAAGCAGAGCAGGTGAAGTTCCCCCTGTTCCGGTGTGGTAATATGTCCCAGCGCGGCACTTGTGGCACGATATGCACCTTTATTTCGTTGCCGCTGTACCCAATGCGTCGCACCATGTTGACCTGCTTCAATGGTATCGTTGCTCTACACATACGCACCTGTGGAGTAACTTTCGTGGTGGGGTACGCCCCTACGGAAACTGCCCGCAACACCGCGGGCGGTGATGTCAATGCCAAGGACTCCTTCTGGACTGCTCTCGACGCAGAGATCCGGGAGGTCCATAGCCGTGACCATCTCGTGGTACTAATGGACGCCAACGCACGTACTGGCAGGAGGCGAGACGGATGCTGCGATGCCAAGATTATGGGCGCGTACGGACGCGACATTATGAACAACANGAACAGCCGTTCTGCTGGACAGGCCAGCGTGGATATGTCACGGAGATGCTCTCGAGCCACATCATCCACCCCAACAAAGTACACCACTCCACGCAGGAGTGGGATTTTGCACAAACAGTAAACCCTCCGGCAGCAGCTCTGCACTTTTCCAGGTGGCAAACCTCGGGTGCTGGAAACAGTAGTTCTAGTTCTCACCTGAAAATAAACGATGAAGACGACGCTACGGTGTTTTGGTGCGAACCGTAGGCGGCAACGGCGCTGCGCAGGGGTTCGATACTCACTCTAGCGTGTGTAGCACGCAAGTGGGCGCTACAGTCGATCGAAACAGATGGGGTAAGGGTTAGGGCTCCTTTGCGATTAAATGACGCGACGCAGAGAAGCAGAGCAGCGTAGCAAGGGCAATTGTTGACGAAACAGAAGTTCGCCACAGAGATCTTAACGACGAATTACTGTGTGCTCGGCAGCTATTTTCGATAAAATCGGGGTGTCGGCAGTTCCATTGGCGTAGTGGTTTCGGGTTTGATTCTTGGAGTTGTGTCTCGGGGGTTGAAACGTCACGACAGGACATAGTCGGCTGGTGTGAATGTTATCACACCGAACTGATCAACAAAGAACAGTGTGTGTGTGTGTGTCGTCCCATTAGCTAGAGGATGGGGAGGGGGACTAATTAGGGGGACTATTAGCCCGGGGTCCCATGAATGCGGAGAATCTGGTCGGGCCATAGGCCGTGTCCAGACTTTCTCCTTCATTGCATTCAAGGTGCAGGTCTATGATTTTTTTCTCGCAGGGGGGGGCAACCAATCCTCACCCCTTCGTCGCCAAATCGCTCTCTCGGAGCCTATCTCCTTTGGCGAAGCCAGTAAGTTACCAAGACAGATACAATCAGCACAGCTGTGTACCGTCCCTTCACCTTTCACTGCTCGGTTTCAGGGTACATTAATGGCGGACGATGTGACCACCGTCCTTGTACCAGAAGAATGACATCATTTGATTTGCGCAGGTCATGGTGGACAGTATAGCGCGCTAGTCGGTAAATGCTACCAGAAGAAAATGCACTGTATGCATTGTCTTTCGTGCGTGTTTTATTTACGAACGTACACACACCTCGCAGCCTGCTAAGGGCCAGGTCATGGGTTCGAGTCCCGGCACGGAGAGTTTTTTTCTCACTGAATAAATCCTGGTCTAGGAGGAAAGCGACGCGCTGCAAAGCTCGTTTGTTAGTAAACCATAATCGACTTCGTAAGTCGCGAGGGAAGGGATTGCTGTACACCTCTCGCGATAAAAATACCTCAGGCATGAACCGCAGGAGGGGGGTCCAACCCCCCCCTCCTATGTGACCCCGGTTGGGTCGTCTAGCCAGTAGAAGTGGAGGATAGGGGCCAGAGGGGCAGACGGCAGAGTCCAATGATGGGAGAAAAAAAAAAAAAAACATGTCACGGCTACGTGATGCATTCATGCGTAGCTTCGAGTTCGACTCTTGTTGAGCGATGAACATGGCTTCGATCGAGGCTCTCCACCTTGTCGGATGGCAAACGAAAAACAATACTCCGTATCAAGAATAATTTCTCTTTACGAGATAAAGGTACAGTAGTCCGGGTAATGATATTCCCCGAAGGTTCGTGTATCACGTCGCGTCGCAGGAGAGAAGCGCCAGCGGGCTCCTCTCTCGGGTGTTACCTAGCTACTTATTTGCGTGACATGCCATCCATCACACACACATCGAGTACCAACACATGTCCCCTTCCAACACACCGTCGGACTATGGGCATGACATGTGAGCCGGAATAGCCATACCCAGGCGCCTAGTCTCCGTATATCTACGCACAGCGCAGAGCCAACAAGATATCGGCTGAGCCCTTCTCCACTCCCGAGCTCACGCCTCCGCCTAGTACCTGTCCCACTACACCGGGAACTCGTACCCATAGAACTCTACTTCAAATCTGTTATATTCGCCAATGAGATCACGCGCCTCTTGGTCAAAAGCTCCAATTCGCTCGGCGGTAGACGTTCCTGCATCGTGGGTTTGTAAGCATTGGAGCATTGGAACAAGAAGATTCAAACATATCCACGGGAGTTGATGGGAAGCTGCACGATGTAGTCACTAGAGGGGTTGTTGCCTTGTGAGGCCGATGGTGGTGGCGTATGCACTCTGCAAAGTGTTGGCGCACGCAGACACTTGAGAGGGACAACGTCGTACCGCATTTTCTTCTATTCATGGAGTCAGCTGTTCAGAAATACATGAAGCAGCAATCAGTGGCCTTCGGTTTTTTCGGTCTAGACTACATGGATGGGGCTTCAGCAGCGATACGTAGTGTCTCATGCAGGTGAGAAGAAAATCACTACGAAAAAGAGGACAGAGAGCGTTTCAATCAAACTACCTAGAGCTTTACAGTTGGCTAGATACCACCTTCGACAAGTACGCTCGGATTCTTGTGTCCAAGCTTCGCCGGAAGACCCAGAAGAGTAGCCATGCATTCGAAGTCGCTTTGGAGATTCTCAAATGATATAATAAAGTTCGGCAGGAGCACGTCGAGGTGAACACCATCCGTAACGTACTCCGACTGAGATCCGAACCACGACGGCCTGGAAAACTCTCCATCATTCCTGTGCCACGGCCGGTAAGGTTTCCAAGAGGTTCGGATTATTTGATGTCTCTGATCCCCATCGATGTATGCAACAACTCATTTGGTGATCTTCAGCGATTGGTTGACGCAACAACGCAATCGACCCCCCTGGTTATTTCTCACACCTTTTTCTACTGTGTAATAAACGAATCGTCGGAATGAAGTTGATGTCGTTCACACGCGTTTTGGATAGAATACGGCCCTCCCTTTCTGCAGACGAGGTGGCGAAGTATCTCTGAACGCGCAGTAATTTGTTGAGAGTATATGCACGCTTCCCCTAACTCACCAACCGCAACCCTAGGTCGAGTTATAGTGTAAAACCACGATTGAACATCACGCTTCAACAAATCTTGCACGATGTTTTCGGTACATGTTTCATGCAATGCATCAGCCGGGATCCTGCTCGCTGTCCGTATTCCCGTCCACTCCTGACAGTTTACTCTCATGAGTTGCCTCGTTCCGCGCCAATTCTGGATAATACTCCTCTAGTTTACCGCTCGCTTCCCGCTAAGGCTTCCACCACCACGCCCGTCTTGCGCCACTGGGCGTGACGAAAGTTGAAGATTTCGGACAAAAAACCTCACCTCTCGAGATTGCCCCTAATATCCGGAGGGAGCGCTTCAAGACCACGAAGAAGCACAACCATGTGCTTAGTCCACGAAGATAGTGTCAGCGAGCGGGCCAATAGGCACCCCCAATGCGGCGACGGTAGCACGCGCTCCTTTCCATAACCACTCTTGCAGAAGCTGTACCAGCTTTCCCACCGTGACCAAGGATTGCGAGCGACCGAAAACTTGAACGCACAACCCCAAGCTTCTTCTCCCATGCTTTGCCTCCTTTCCCGTGCGACATCGTGCTTCTTCTTTATTTTCAGGGCAGCCTCCACGCTTTCTCCAGCGGTCTTGGGCACGTGGAGGAAAACCAGCTTTAAAGATTCGTCGCAGCTATCGTTCCACTCCGAGGCAATCCGGCTCTCCGGAACTCTCTGAGAAGGCACGGGTACCCAAGGCTACTGACTGTTATGAAAGAGTGAAGTGCTGCAGGTATGGATCACATAGCAGTCTAGTTTACTAGTTTATGAAGCGCTGCGCTTCAAGAACGGGAGAAGGTTATGTCAGTTGACATTGCAGCTTTTTATGTAGGAATTCATCAGCAAGCCCTGTGGAAAGAGCGGCACTGCTGCGGCATCGCATATGTATCGTGTAGTGGAAAAAAGCACGGCAAATCGAAACCTCAGTATAAATGGTGCAAGAATTTCAGAATTTTGTCCGTATCATAACGTTGTATCCACCAGTGTAGAACAACACGTCTGTTTATCGAGTGTGCTGTCCCAGCCCGACAACCTGTCGTGGTGTTGGGTGTGCACTGCCGGTTCTGTGCTGCTGCGGTGTGGATGGCACTCTCTCCATGTACATTAAAGCGTGCACGGAAATTTCAAATATATATACCGCGTCTTGCTCCGTGTTTGCCCCACGTGCACACGAGTCTTCTGCCCAATGAATAAGCCCGCACGCTGTTTGACCAACGCTTGGCATACGAACTATCAGCAGGGAGCAAGGAGGCTGGGTTGGAATGTAGCCGTTGCGGCCGCAGTAGGTTTTCCTTCCCCTTTGGCACGAACCGCAGAAGTATGGAAAACGTCTGTTGTAATCTGACGTGTGTGTGTGTCAGTGGCTCATGGTTTGTCTTGACTAGACAGTCAAGTACAAGTGTCGTGTTATTTCGTTTGAGTTGGAGATTCTTCTTACACGAAAACAAGCTGAAAATAGACTGAAAACAGACTGAACATAAACAGCAGTCCTGCCACCTGAGATGTGTGTACAAGCAAGAATAACAAAACACTCAAACTGTTGTGCAGAGGGTGAACTGCAGGTGTAAGCCTGCTAACCAAAGAAGATACTTCGGTTGTATGGAGAGTTGAGACGAAGATGTTGAATAATTTTGCATTATTTTTTGTTGAGGGCAGGAGACAGAGTGAGCCTGTGGGGGGGGGGGCGTGCGCTCTGTCAAGTCCCAAAGCGGGTTCGTCGGTCCTACCGACGAAAACACCAAGAACGCAAAGAACGGTCCGGAGAACGTTCCGGGGACCGTTTCGTGTGGTCCGAATACTGTCCTTGAAACTAATGAATCAGTGCCTGCAAGTATCACGGACATATACATAGTACCGTTCCTGAGAACGTTCCTGTACGCCTGCTGGGCCGAGGATATTCAATCAATAGGCTACAAAGATCCAACCATGCAGGAACACCTTTCCTTTCCGCGGAATCCAAGGCATGGCGTTACCTGGAGTGATGGGGCCCGGCGTAGTTGGAGCTGGGGTACCCGGCGTGGGCGCGGGGATAGGATCCCCTGCAATTCGGCAAATAGCGCGAGCACAGAAAGAAAGAAATGGTATCAATGTCGACAGATTCAGGGCAAAGGCTCGCGGTGCAAATGGTCGCTATGGCCGTAGCGCCGGGTGGGTGCAGGCACGCTTCTCTGCAGGCTGAACGCCGTCGACAAGGGAAACGTATCGCGATTTAATCGCGTCCGGCGTGTTGTCTGTGTGCTCGGCAAAAAAACTGAACAGGTGTGCGTGGCACGATACCCAGATGTGGCTTTCAATACTCACGGCAAGCGCCGCTGATAAGGGGCACGTCACAGAGCTTCAACGACGGGCAGCAGATCTCGTCGGGCACGGTGCAGTCGTCGTCCGTGACGCAGGCTAACGTCAAGGAAAATGTCGTCGATGGCGGCGCAATCGTCGGCAGAAGGAACGACAGGGACGGAGGCAAAGGGGAGGGTGGGTATTTTCTGAGACGACAGTATGGGGGCAGATATATTCTAAGGCGGTACTGCGACATCATTCACGTATTCATCAGTGGGCGGGTTGGTGGTCTTGACTTTTCCAGTTTTTTTTTTCTATATTACACAGTTTTGGACCGGGCCTCAAAATTTTCCGAAATAAGGAAACAGATTTCTACATAAGAAAGTTTCCGGGAAACTTCCTGCAGGCGAATACTTTCCGATTTAAGGTCTGCACACTGGGGCGAAAGTGATTGGCCGAGGGACAAAAGGCCTGACAGTCCCCCTCCTTCCTTGGCTGCCTGCTGCCCTACTGCGGGAACAGCTGTCTCTTGACAGAGCCCTCTGCAGCGCTCCCACTGTTGAGTGTGTGGGCGAGGCTACCATGTCCCGCCTACGTATTCGCGAACGAATCGAGCGCAAAAAACGTGCTTCGGTCATGCTTCGATGCCGTAATCTATTCGAAGTCTACACCGATCTATGGTTCGTGTACAACATCGCTTTCATCTACGCGATGGCCCGCCTGGAACTCGACGACACGCCCACGAGTATCGCACGTAGGGACGCGACAGCATTCTTCAGCCCACAGGACTGCGTCAACTTTCTACGTTTCACGCAATCGCAAGTGAGTGCATGTCGCAGCTAAA